AGCGGAAGAATTATATTAAATTTAAAATGTCTCATGCGGAGTGAACAACGACAGCGGTAACCTGTAGTCATCAAGTGCCTTGTAACTAGAATCGGTTAGCTGCCACGCAACTCAAAATCGTGAATACATTGCTCTTTATTTGTAATATTTATTTTGTTACGAAGCAACCTATATTTTTCGTTTCCTGAAGTTCCTGAGCTAACTGGATTTTTCTTCTTGGAAAAACTCGCTACATCAGGCAAACTATCAAACATCATATACTAAACATCAGTAAATACACAAAAGCAATGAGTTAAGCGGTTTAAAAAGCATCACGGAAGCCAAACAGCCTTAAACATCTCTACGTGGTCCACAGGACGTAACATCACATCCGCATAACGTAATTGTTATTTTTCTTCTTATTTCAAATAATTGAATAAAAGGAGAAGCACTTCGTATTCCATTCATTATTGCTCCTAAATTCATTAAATTCAGTCAGTCTGCATTCACAAATAACAACGGGGTGAGGCCGGCGCGTATATACATACGCGTATATATACAAGAACACTTCTTAATCTCTTGCATTTGGTTATATAGGATATATTCGAAGGTATTGTTTATTTCATTTTTATTTCGATCCCCCAGGCCCATCGACTCCATCAATTATAAATTATTTTTTCCCGTCTTTTTTAGTCCTACAGCAATAATTTGTTTTGTCACCACTTGATGGTGTCAGCGAATGCCCCCATTATATGCTGACCACGCTACCACCCTCCATCACCTGACATCAACATCGTCATTTACTGACATTCATTTTCGACAACTCATCTATGTAACCAACATTAGTCATTTACTCATTCTTGCATTGATTTATACCTGCACGCTGCTCATTCTTCACTCCATGAAGGTACTCTTGTTCCGCCTCAGGGTCTCTACTAATGTTGTCCACCCGGGGCCGGGGGCTCCTAACCTAACCTCGCCACTCCATTTTGTGCAGCGTCCAGCCTGGTTTGCTGGAGGCTTCCTAGGGCCACACACAACCTGTGCTAGGTATAGCACATGGGCTCATATATATCGCCTCGAGCTGACGCAAAAACATCAATGCATTGACCCCAGAAATTATAAGCAAATGTGCATAGCTGACCCAAATCAACTCTGTACTAAAGCAATAAACAAAAATTTTGTAGATTTTGGTGAATCTTTAAGAATCTTTGTTCGTCGAGAAAAAGATCATTTGTTGAGATAAAGCATTGGGATCGAACTAATTACCTATTTAATGGAATTTTATATAAAGGTTGTTAAGTCCATTCTGAATTATGGCGAAGAAATGAAATTTTATTATGAATGCCAGTTACACCAATCTTCCCAAGATATCCTCCACTAGGTCAATATTGACGCAATGGTTCCCGATGCCAATATTTTACTAATAAAATAGAATAGAATAGAAGTGTCGGCGTTGAAGACATAGGCCCATGGCCTGTTGCCGATTCTTGAACTTTTCGTGACTTGATTCACAAGGGATCCGGCCTTTGGAACCCGATCTTTCCATAACAGCTTCATAATCTTTAATCTTTCCTCATAGGACTTGCCTTTCAAGCCCGGAACTATCCTTGTTGCGCGTCTTTGAACACTCTCTACTAAATTTTTGTCCTTTTTAAATTTCGGTGACCACACGACGTTTCCAAACTCCAGGTTCGGGCGCACGACAGCAACAAACAACTGCTTTCATTAATAACTGCTTCATTATAATAAATTAAAGCTTTCATTAATGGACAGATTCAACACGCCGTTAACAACGGCATGCAATAATTATGCGAGATTAACAATAATGCAAAAGCAGCGCTGAAAATATCGAGTAAAATCTTCTGGCAAATTGTGTTGCCAACACAACTGCCTCAGTCAGCAATGACTGTGTGAATTGGCCCAGCCCTTGTTCCTCAGGACATGCAGGGCGGCCACACGCTGTCCTTGAAACCGAACCACCTCAAGTTCAAGTCCAAGTCCAAGGCTACGTGTTTCCGTAGTTGTCGCTATTTACTCGATTCGAGTGTCCTTGATCGGAAAGAGATAAAAACTTATAACGACATACTAAGCAGGGGCTGGTTCTAACTTGAACAATAATTATTTACCAATTAAGATTTTCATGCTGAGTAAATAAAGTTACCAATGACCCAATATTTCATAGAACATCGAGATATTATAGGATTAAAGATGTTTATTTATGGTCCGGGATACTTGCCAAAGGTTCGAACTATTGTGCACCCATTAATTGCAGACATTTATTTTCAAAGCGTTTTTCTATGATACCCAATTATATAAAACGACTTTGAATAATGTAACTATTAATTTAATTTTTGGCGATGAGACCTAAACTTCCAGCGTGAGATCATGAGCACTTTTTTGTAATCGATATAATTTTACAACTGACACTGGCGGATAATTCTTCCTTGCGACATCACACAGGAAATATAACCAATACTTTGAAATAGAGTAAAATAACTAAAATGTAAACTAGTTGTTAATTTTTATTGAAACGGTCTAAAATAATCAAGCCAGAAATTTATCGCTAAATTTGAAGATGGACTCATATAATTGGCATCCGATGAGGTATACACAATTACTTTCTACTAGTGGAAATCTTACGAAGATGATCATTATCACTCCTATTTCTGCATAATTCCGTGAAAAAATCGAATGCACAAATAGTTATAAAAATTTGAATGCACAAATAGTTATTTAGAGTTTAATGTATTGTTGATGCGATGCGTGTTGGTGATGCAACCCCACCAATCAAGTTTTTGAAGAACGGCTGGTCATATTTTCGGTCCAAGCAGCACAGCCTCTCTGTTGAATGGCTAAAGAGGCCCCTGTTCGACACTAATGAGTTCATTAACCCTTGTATTCGTTTTGAATGAAGCTTATTCTTATTAGAAAATTCCATAGCTCTGATAATGTTCAGTTAATTAGCAAGCAGCATAACATTGACTGGGGTAGCAGTAGCTTTCGAAATCGTCTTTAAAATCGACTCTACCGTTGCGTCTAGCTGTCTCTCTTAGCGCGGCTGACGGCTCCGTTGGCAGTTCACAGATGCCTGTCGCTTTTAGTGTGTTTATAATCTAGTTGCCACTTGTTCAAGTGATTGAATTGACAATTTTTACTTAAATAGATTTTCTTGATGATTTAATCCGTTAATCAAATTAATAGCTCACTTTCGACAACTGCTTATTATTCCATTATTTCTACGCATTTGAAGCGTTTACTCGTCGGATCAGACACCTCGTATGAACCATACCCAGGATCTTTACCATGATGCAAACTATTCACTGCGTCTAGGTTTTATTCTAATATTGATTAGCTGGATATTAATTACTGAATTGCCTCAGCTTTACTTAGCAATTTATTATCATTTGGTCTTCGTTAACAGCCAGCTTTTACATTTTAAATTCTATCTGTGATCACCTAAATCCAAACTTTCTCTGAAGTTATACTGGATCATCGACTTGCTTAGTGCGTTTTATGTTTTACATCCGTAATTACATTACGCTTCAGTTATTAACATTACGCTTAAGTTATATTAGTTATTAGCAGTTCGATAACTAAAGCGTAATTACATTACGCTTTAGTTATCGAACTGCTATTTCTATGCATTTATTTCTCGATTAAATGCATATTCTTAACGAACTTTTCTCGAATTCAGCATTGATTCTCCCCAGAGGTTTATTGTCTTTATTCGTTTTTAACCACTGGCTGGCCCAGTGGTCAAAGTTCAGGGTACCAAGATTGGAGCAGAGAGGTGCGGGTTCGATCCCAGCTTTGTGGGCCAGTTTCTGGTCAGAATCGGCGACGAGGCCGGGCGGTTAAGCACAGCAGAATGGGAGCAGTGAGTTGTGTGTTCGAGACCACATCAAGCTGTGAATGTTCTGCGATGTTAAGAATCGGCGTCAGGCCTACGGCCTAATAAACGCTGAAACCGCTATTATTATTATTATTATTATTATTATTATTGTTATTATTATTATTATTATTATTATTATTATTATTATTATTATTATTATTATTATTAATATTATTATTATTATTATTAATATTATTATACAGATAATTGTCCTTCATAAAGCTACAATAATTACATATCCAACAATCGATAATGAAATCGCAAGTCATCGCCTTCCTCAGATTCTTGAACGATATTTTGTTTCAATGGTAAAATCATCCGATAGCCCGATAATTGAAATTCTTCTGGGTCTCGATAGTCCTGAGCGACAATTTACGGGTAGAAGCGAGACTTTAAAAAAAAACATTTACCTTTAATCCCAATTTTGAATAATTTTGATAACCTTGTTGTCTAAAGCCCATTTTCAAGAAATGTAGCTACTGTTTAACGTTACATCAATCCCACTTAATTTGTTAGTATTGACTTATTCCGGCATTATATTCATACGGGCATCTTGGGTATCATTGACAATTGATTGTCTGAGTATTTCGGATCTAGCTGATTAGTGACTCATTGGCACACGTTCTATTAGTAGGAAACGAAAATAATACTTTTCGAGTTGACGCGACTATTCTCGATTTTTCATAGCTTAACACGTAACAGAGATGATAAATTGTTAATAAATCTAGGGCTCATGTAATGTGTTGTAAAATACTTGAGTTATAGCTGTAAAAACTTCGTCGAATTATCAACGCGACGCAGGGCGGGAAATTTTTTTCGGTTGTACAACGATAAAATTCAAAATTATGCATTGAGTAAATTATAAAACTTTTACGGTAAAATTCATAAAATTATATATTATTAAAAATATTTAGAAGTGAAATATTCCATTTAATATACAATCTTTGACTGTTATCCGTCAAAAACGACATCTACCTACTCTGAACCAAACTACTTGTCGGTTAAATGCGTGAAGATGCAGAAATGGCGACCGAAGTCGTGCATGACGCTGAATTACTGTGAGTTAAGACTAACCTCTCGATTTCATTTGTATTTGATAATGATTAACTGTGCAGGAGTATGCCAAATTTATGTTGTATGATGGGTTTGAAGGATATTCAAGGAGTGTAGAAAATATCGCGGAAGTCCACAGTTTAGGATCTCCGCCATGTGTTAGTTGTGGAAATTCAAGTTTGTTTACACTAACGATATTGATGTTGCCCTTAAATTTCCTATTTGTGTGTAAGTGAAAAATTTAAAATATTTCCTGTACTATTGCTATGTTTCCAAATAAGTTTTTGCCCTTCACAAAAGATGTAAATGGCTAGACTCTGCAGGCTAAAAACATAGCTAACCTGAAAGCTGAAACACTTTTTTCAAAGTTTAAATATCGGGGTCTTGAAATCTCTGAATCTGATGCTGGCTGCTGTTGATAAATTTATTAATATCAGACTTACAGTATTAATGATTATGTATTTAGTTCATTAAATACCTATAGTACTATTAACTAGGTATTCTTCACAATCTACAAATACTATTTGAAATATGGGATTGTTCTCACAGGGCTGCAGGGCACAGACCATAGGCATAGTTGATAATTATAATTTATAATCATCCTCATTCCTCTCAGTTTCAGACTCTTGGGTTGCTCAGTGGAATATATCTACCTCTTCAGCCACAAGTCCACAACCAGAGCTTTTCTGCCATTTTCAGAGCCATGAGACTGGCATAGAAAATGGAATCTATATATCTTTTTTGCTGCAACTAGGGTACCTAAATGTGGTATATTCAGACACATTAAAGACATAGCAAAAAATAAATGGCTATAAAAAATCATCGTATGCGCAACTCGAGTTCTGTTTGGTTTACGTCATTCTCAAAACACCGCACTACGTGCCAGCAACAATGAAACGTCATAAAATGTTGCCATATTTATTTTAAAGCCTTTAGAATGCAAACCTACCAAATCCATATTTGGTAGGTTTGCATCCGTCCGTGCTTCAAACTCTACTAATTTGTAATTCCGACCCTCTTGTGTTCGAATTCCAATCGCTGTGTGAGCTGTATTGGAATTGGAATACAACACAGCTCAAAATTAGAACACTATTGAATATTGAACACTACTTAATTAGACTTTTAATAAAGAGCTATTAAGCTTTTAATTAAGAAAATTTTAATCTTTGCATGTAGCTTGGAACAAGCTGTGTGTGTCTAATTGCAAGGCATCCAAGCTCAGCAAGCTGTGTTGGAATTAGTTTTTATGTGTCTAAAACCGTCTCTCAACTTAATCATCTATTAATTTATTTACGGTACCACTTGAAATCAGCAAATACAAGTTTACCTAAAGGATTCCTAATATATTCACAGAGTTATCTAAAAGTCTCAAACCATAATATTTTTTCTACACAAGCAGTTTATCACTATTTGGTAGAGCAAGGTCAACTATCAACTTTGACACGTTTTTGGATGTTCTCACTGGGTGACGTTCACTGTCTGATTTTGGATCTCAACATTTTCCTGCCAGACGGCCCAGACCTAGTGTTTTGGCAATAGTATGGCGTGCAATAGTATGACATCACTATTTCAACCATCAACAAATGCGTGGAACTAAGACAAAGCTTAATATAAAGGAAAAAAGTTGAGAAGTGTTGGAATTACCCACAATGTCGGAATATACCGCGTTTACCCTAGAGTCTAGAGCTCTGCTGCTATTTTTTGAAAGTGTGAGATTCCCTCTGGACAGTATAGAATTCCAAAAAATAATGTTCATATATTATTTTTTATCCACTTCCACCGCTTCTTCAATCCAGAAATTTAAGTTGAGATGGAAAGGATACCTACAAATAGGATAGATTAAAGTTACACTTGGAGGAATCAAGAGTGAAGGTTGGGGCAAGGTGGAATTCTAAGATTAGTGGTTCACTTGAAAAAAAAGTGTTCCACCTTGGAAAAATGTTACAGGAAACTAGAAATGGGTTTGTACTCTGTAGGCCATCAGAAATTGGCTTTGGCATGGACGATATGTCAGTCAACACAAAGAAGCAGGGCTGGAGCCTGGAAAAGTCCTATTTTTTCTGAAATATTGCGCCTCTAATATCATATAATTTTGGTAGGTATGAAATATGAAATCTTGTGGCTCTAATGTTGTAAATTTTTGTTTGATTGAAAAAATTGCGGTTTGCACTCTGCAAACGTGTCGTTTTATGAAATTTTCAACTTCCACAAATGGACCACAATCTGCAGTATATATAGGTACTTCAATGCTCCTGCCTCCCACCAAAATAACATGCAGCATGTAATAACAAGTCAACCCAAAATATTTCCTTTAAGATTGCCTAGTGGCGGTCACATCAGAGCAGTCAGACTGCATTATCACTTGTTCAGTTGCCGCTCAAGTGAAGACAAATGTTAGTGACTTTTTAGGGTAAAATTAGAGATATGGGTAACACATGCATGGGACGTTGTAAATAATAAGTTTGCGGCTTGTAAATGGGTTTTCACGGCTGAGATATGGAATTAACTGCCCAAAGAAATGGAATCACGGCTGTCAAACCCACAAAATCAAGGCTCAAAAAATCCAGAACTTTGTGGCTTGCCAAGTAGAAATATTCCATGCCCGCACAGAAGGTCCCAAGATCGTCAATTGTGCATGTCACTCAAAGATGATCAAGAGGAATTTGCAAAAGGAAGTGCACACATTGTGCTTGGTAGAAGTTATAAGGTTGCTACTGACAGTCTGACACCAGTAGAGACTTGCACATAGCGCTCTGTATGAACGCTTCTGAGGTTGTCAGTAGAGAACGCTTCTGAGGTTGCTGCACAATGTTGCAGCCGGATGCACTTTTGATTCTGAAAAAGGTTCCATTAGATCTTGCCAATATATTCATATACAAAAGTTTCTTAAGAGTTGATTCAGAGCACTTGATGTATTAGTTGTTCAGAGTTTGACAAGTGTTTTTTCAGAGCACACCAAATTATTTTCTTCTAGAGTCATATTGTATTTACCTTTAAATTGTTTAAAGTATTTCTGAAAATCATACCTAAAGCCAATTTGGAAAATTATGTTAGCATCCAACTCTCAACTAGCTCAAACGATTGCAGACCCGATTGTATATTGTCAATGTTCAATGGCATGTCCATGGATTAAGTAATATGATCGGGAAGTAAAAATGTTTATTTCATGAGTGATTATTGAAAATCATTTTCTTATTTGCCCATTCTGAAAAATGGGGCTAATCATCCATGTATGAGAAAAATGCCTGTGTTTATGGTAAATTTGCTTAATTTTATGATGCTCAATATTCCAAATTGGCTTATGGTAAATTTTGACTGCCCTTTCCTAATTCCTAAAAAATAGAAGAAGTTCATATTTTTGTTTGCAATATTAAAAAATTGCCAAAAGACAATCGTTTTAGCCTGCAATTTTGGAAAAAGAATCTGTATAATATTCCAGATCGGCCTTCATCACTGAATTTGAGGAAAGGTAATAGTAACGGATTCATGGTTGATTTTGTCTCACTTACTGGTGGTTTCTGCCCAAATTTTTCATTTGGGTGAGAGATACATTGTAGTTTCATTCCTATCTAGCATCAAGATCGGAGTGATCATTGCTCCTAAGTCAAATATTTTGGTAAGATTCAAAATAAGAATGGATAGGTTACAACAGTGGTTCCCAAAGTGGGCGATATTGCCCTCCTAGGGGCGATGGAAAGATTTTGGGGGGCGGTAAAAAAGAAGAGGGCGTTTGGGGGGCGGCAGTCCGAAGTCAAAGTCAGAAGTTCGAACGTTTGTTTGACGATTTATACACAACACGTGCAGCACATCATGACTCCCAGCGATGGTTTTTTCACCAAGATCTGTTTTTAGCGCATATACTCATTTATGAAAAAAATCCACTATTGTGCTCGCCATGTCCTTCTGTCTGTCATTCCGTGATTTCACGTTTTCGTCGACGAGAAAATGCGCTCTCTGTCACTCACTGCAGTGAGTACCGAGTTATATTTTTTAAACTTCTCCTGGGTTTACGTCTACGACAAATTAACGGCCGGACTCGTGGCCGGTCTCACGGCCAATTTCCAAATTCAATGATCAAGGAATACCTCTCAAACTAATAAACTTAACTCGATGAAACTTGGTACACGTATTCATTAGGACCTAATGGTAATGTAGAGCTCGTGAAAATTTTTTGAATTTTGCCTTCAATTGTTTTTGCCATACTTATATGGCAATACGTACGGGCCGAATTCACAGTGATCAAGGAATTTCTTCCAAATTACTGAACAGATTCGGATGAAATTTTGAATTTATAGTCCTAACAACCAAATGGTGATGTTTTGCTCGTGAAAATTTTTTTGATTGTGCCTTCATTTGCGAGTTTCATTCGTGATTTAAACAGCAATACGTGCTTAAATTTGCAGTAATCAAGAAATTTCTTGCAAACTACTGAACAGATTTGAATGAAATTTAGTATTTTACTACGTTTTTCTTAGCTCGCTTTCGTGTCTGTGATGATCAAATCTTGCAATCGATATTTCACCAACTTTCCCATTAGCTAGCGCTCTGAAACTTTTAGGGAAGCTCAGCTCCCGATAACAATACAATAATCCAGAATTTGTTGCACGTTTCCAGGCGTATAAACTCTAAAGGAACTCACAAGCAGGGGTTGGAACCTTTAATGCACGTCATCCTCGAGAGGATATTCGTGTTTAGACTGCGTATATCGATGATACGCTTCGTATCATCGATACGAACATCAAGTCAAGTAAATTGGCTCGCAACAACGTGTTTCGTGTGTAGCAATGGACTAAAAATGAGAAAATAAAATGCTTAAAAAACTAAAAAGTAGAAAATAAAATGTATAAAAAAAATTTTTAAAGACCACGTTTTTCATGTGGACTCAAAAGTAGAAAATAATTTTTCGGCAGCCACTGATCTCTGTTTGCTTTCATTCCCTTGGTCTTTTGTATTTCAGTTAAAATATTTTACATCTAAAACGAAAAACGTGGGGCGCATCTTCATTTAGGCATGCCTTAATTTCAATTTTGAATTCAACCACTATTTCTAATTATATCAGCAATACACTTATCAAATGTTCAGTGAACCATCATATTCATCATATCAAGTAATCACCAAACAATTAAATACATATGCGCCCCACGTTTTTCATTTTAGATGTAAAATATTTTAACTGAAATACAAAAGACCAAGAGAATGAAAGCAAACAGAGATCAGTAGCTGCCGAAAAATTATTTTCTACTCTTGAGTCCACATGAAAAACGTGGTCTTTAAAAATTTTTTTTATACATTTTATTAATACCTAACCTCAGCATCGGTGATGTTTAGCTCATTAAAATTTTTTTGTTTTGCCTTTCTTTGTGAGTTATACGGCTATTCGTAAACGGCTCTTGGTTAAACCAGCCGGTAGAAAAGCCGATCGTTTCTCCTATATCTGTATAACTTGCGAACGAAAGCGAATAAGGAAGTGTGAAATCAAGAATGACGTTAAAATGAAAAAATCTCGCAAACGACGGTAAAATAAATTTTTTTCAATCTAAAAAACACCATTTGGTAGTTAGGAATGTATATTCAAAATTTTGTTCAAACCTGTTTGGTAGTTTGGAAGAAATTCTTTGATCACTGCAAATTTCGGCCTGTGTCGCAATATACCGTAACTCACAAATGAAGGTGATATTTAAAAAAATTTTCGCAAGCTAAACGTTACCACTAAGTTCTGATGAATACATGTTCCAAGTTTTATTGAGCTGCGTTCATTAGTTTGGGTGATATTCCTTGATAACTGAATTTGGAGATTGGTCGTGAGACGGCCACGAGTCCGGCCGTACATTTGCCCAAGACGTCCTAGGTTTCTAGTGCTGAAACGGTTAAAACAGCTGAAAAACACATTGGTTCACTAAAAGGGTCCTATTTGTGGAATACACATCATAACACATGTGTGTTTAACCTTTATCTTTTAAAATTGCAGCGAACTAAATTTTATAGTAAGAGGCGCATGATTTTATATGTGTCTGTGGGGGGCGCTAGAAATTCACTAGAGAGCTAAAGGGGGCGCCAGCCTGAAAAAGTTTGGGAACCACTGGGTTACAACATGCTACATTGCCAATAAAAGAGAAGCAAAATGTTTTGTTGGCTTTTATAGGATAAACACTAGCTACACTGCCTGGCTTGTATTACTGTTTTTATTAACATTTTTGGTGCGGGAAATTTGAAAAAAATGTGTTATGCTTGTATGTAAAAAATTTATTTCCCAAACAACAGTTGGATTTTTATAGGTGTGAGTTCATTGAATTTACAGCTGTGTAAAAATGAATTTAATAATTCTGAGTCATGAGTTCCTTTTTTGTAAGCAATTTCATATTCTAAATTGTGGAGGACAATATGTTCAAACTAAAAAATTTTGTGTCATAAAAGCATTTATTAGGAATGTGTGTTTTTTTTCTTGGGTGTTGAATAACTCATTTTTTTTAATGCCTTGCAGGGAGGAGTTCCCTGAAGACTCCTGTAACATGCAGACAATAGAAGAAGCCGGTGGTCTGATCTGCGACCCTCACATCACTGTGCTCACTGAAGAAACTGTTGTTGAGGTTAGACTAACACTCAATCATGATGAATCAAATGTCCCATGTCAATTACTCATTAAAGTTGTTTGTTGTATATAATTACATTTGGCTTGGAAGAGTTCTTTTGAACACATGCCATTGGTTATTTAGTCATTCTATTTTAACTATAAACAGAGATATGACTATAAATGCACATACTGTAGTAAATGCTTCCATTTAAAGTAATTAGTGTCAGCCCTTGATACTACTATATCATGAACAGATAGATTTGATTTCATAAGACATTCCTTGTCTGAGTACAAATATAAATACGATGAAGCTCCAGACAACCTGTATTGATAAAGGTAGACTTGTGTGACTGAGCAATGACAAGCTGAATCAAGAACTGTACATTGATTCACATGATCCTCTGCCATAAATCCCAAATCTGCAAATTAACCGCAGTTAGTAGCCTCAAGAATCCCATTGTGACGTGGTACAGGCTCTTCTGATCCATCAAAACGCCATCTGGAGGTCTGACCAATAGATGCTTGACTATTTTGTTCCACGTCTCAATTATTAGAAGTCAACATTGGCCTCCTAAAGGAAGACCACTAGTCCTACCACACCTTTTTCACACAAGAGAAGGCAGTCAACCACTAATCAACTGCTTCATAGTTCTTTCCTCTCTCAACACAGTATTAGGATATTAGCTTGCCTAAAATTGAAGTACAGTATAGAAAATTAAAATTATAAAAAATATAACTCGGTACTCACTGCAGTGAGTGACAGAGAGCGCATTTTCTCGTCAATGAAAACTTGAGGTCACGGAGGGATGGATGGACGGACAGACAGACGGACATGGCAAGCACAATAGTGCATTTTTTCCATAAATGGGAAAATGCGCTAAAAAGAGAACATGAAATGGTATAAGAGCAATGAAAAGTTGAAAGGTACTAGCAATGTGTTTTAGAGTTGCTGTGGCTGCAGATATTCACTAATGCACTGAACAATTTGTGTGCAGCTTGAACACTGAATAAGTTGGCTAGAAATTTACAACTAATGCAGTGAGAGGAGGACAAGTAAATGGTTAATCTTAAAATCATTGAAATATTACATTTTGGAACTGCAGTAATGTTCTCAAATAATTCCATTAAATTCAATTTTGATTATAATTTGTTTTAATATACGCACAGTAATTAATTATTTGCCCTGTGCACACAAAATGTTATCAAGACAAATTATTAAGAAAAATATTGTGGAATGAATAAATTAATAACGAGGCCTTGAATTAAAATGCAAATACCTTCTGTTTTCAAAATCTTTAATTGAATTTTATGTTGTTTTTTCTTGAATTATTTGCTTTTATTTATTCACTAGACATGATTTTTATGATTTCTCCATTTTCAGGATGCAGATTGCAGTCATAAATACTATGAAGACAGACAGTATGAGTTTGAGTTTTCTCAGCCAGTTTCAGATCAGAATGCAGTGGAATATGCAGGTGAGTTTCAATCATTTCTTACTAAAAAAATTGCAAGTGTTTTGAAATTTTTAGCAGTTGCCTAATTTTATGCCACCCTTATGCCAGTAACATAACTGATTTCTTTCTCAAATAGTAAGGTGGAGTTATACAGAAAAATTTATGACTTCAATCTACCTCAAGGGATTGAAATTCACATGAAGCACAAAGTAAGTGAAAATGTTTACAGCTGATTCATGATGAAATGTATTGAAGCTAACAGAATAACTTCATGAATGAACTTAAATGGATGCCTTTTATGCCTATCTTGTGTATTTAGAGCCTAAAGGGTGACTCTATTTTTCATATTGGTAAAAATATCCTATGTGAGAAAATGAGTGCCAAAATGATGTTCCAATCTGAAATGTTGATTTCGGGCAGACATAGGGATTTTTTACATCATTGTTTTTTGCTCTTTCATGTATGGGTTGTTTTTTAAAATTGGAGAAAGGTAATTTTAATTAATTAAATTTCGGATGTTATTTTAATTAAGATATCTGACAACTAATGGAACCTGCTGACAGAAAGCGGATCGCATTTCCTCATGTCATAGAGATTCTATTCTTAGTTCTAGGTATCTTCAGCACAAATAGCAAGGCTTGCCTTGTAGCTAAAATGCTCAGAAATTATGAGCCTTTTCAAACCGCCACATGTAAGTTTATAGTTTTTAAAAGCTGGGAAACACTAACAGAGGTACTATGGTGGTTTTTGACTTTACGCTTGAAAACATTTCTGTTTATCTGTTTAGCGAGAAAGATATAACAAATGTCAACTTGAAATCTATACTGAAAATGTTTCCCATTATGTCCTCTAATTTGTGTTTAAGACCACATCATCTTGACTCTGCCAATAACCTGCCTATCGCACCAAATACGAATTGTACCATATGTACTTTTTTCAATAGTAATGGCCAATATTAGATGAACAGCCAAGTATCTTAAATAATCTACTTTCGTTAGCCCTTGTGATTTACCACATTAAAATTTTCAATTTAGGATTACGGCCGAGTTAGTATTTTTTAAAATTGTTTTGTAAAAAAGCTTGATTAATTCTTCGTTGTGCACTCATCAATTTGGAATGATCAAGTAAATTTATTTAATTCCCACCCTCTTGCAGATGACTTGCAGCTACACGAGCGTCTACAGCCACGTGTAGCCGTTCACCTCCTAGAGAATGTTCCTGAGGAACGCTGTCTTAACATTGCTCCTGACAAACCACAGCACGGAGACTGGTTAGGCCCATCTTTCTTCATGCAATAAACAAGAAAGTGTTGATTTTTTCCAACTTGTTTTCGTTTGTATTTTCATATGTATCATTTTTTGCTTACCAACATTAATCTAACTTATTCCCTTATGTTCGCAAAACGAAATGCTTAAAACCGTAATGATCCTTGCATTATCAGGTACGTCTACAGCTACTTGCACGATCTAAAACGGCGAAGATTGTGGCAGAGAGACGGACATTCTTGGAGAAACTACGGCCTTAGAAAGGAAAAATACAAGGGCAGACTTCTTCACAAGCGTTATTTCAGGTGACACTATCTTATTATGTTGCTCAGACATTTTCTAAGACACTAGTTTATCATTTTTAAATCTTGTGTCATCAGGTGTGTTCAATTTCGTCATGGTGTTTTTGCTTTTTTTTGTCCTTTAATGTAACATTTTCATTATTTTCCAAAATATTTCTTAAGTCTTGATTTTTGTTCATATTTATGGCTGTACTTTTATCTAAAGTAACAGATTCATAAATGACATATTTACAGGCAAATAAACGGCAGCAATCTTTCACGAATCGTGTACGAAGTTGTAGGTGATCATTACCTGCCAAGGTTTCTGGTGCAATACATCGACGATTCACGAGTTCCAAAGGGCGTGGCAATCCTCGCCAGCAACGCCAGTGTCAGCAACACTATGACCGGAAAACAACGCAAACATTCCATCCGCAAAGATGCCATGCGCCGTAGACTCTACACTATGCTCACTGATTGGCAAGCCTCGGAACTTCTGGTGAAGACTGTCAAAGGTAGCTGCTGCACTACACCTGCAAACAAACCTACTAATGGCTACTGGTACATCTTCAAGTATGGGCAAGATCAAACCCGTTCAGATCTCTGGAAAGAAGACGGCTTACAGTGGGTACAGCACAGTTCAAGTGCTGTGCATGTGGGTTCCAGGCTTCTGCTCAAGAGGCAGTTTATCCGATACGTGGACGGCGCTCGAGTAGACTTCATTCGACGGTCATATGAGTTTGTTGATCCAGCCGCAGCTTCTCTTGCTGGGCTGGGATCTCTCAGCACTGAGCAGGTGGCCCAACAGACGTCGTCAACCACCCGGCGACCAGAACCTATTGACTGCGAGACTGGAAACACTGTGGCCTCCGATGACGTCTTTGCCGTGGACGAGGATGATAACGACGAGTTTGTTGGGTTCGATTCTCCGGACCCAAAGGAAAGTAAACGGGAAGTGAAAAAAACATCTCAAAAAGCCAATGGAAATGTTTCAGTAGATGAAGATACGCAGAAAACGCGAAATGGTTGGAAATGGTCACCAAGCCCGCCCACAAAGGAAAATAAAACTACTAAAGTAATCATCAAAGAGGAAGACCCATTCGACAACGGCAGTAGTTTTGATTCCCAGGAGGTGCCTGACGTGACGTTCAATCGCGTCTTAGTACACTACTTGGGTCATGATGATGCTGTGGACATGCCGGCACCTAAACCGAAGAAGATGACAAAGGCTGGCGGATCCAGACAGGCTCAAGTTGCTTTGTGCCGTGCAGTGCCTCTCACCTGCACAGATGGCACCTTACAGACGTCGAACGTGGGACCTAATCGCGGCATCCATCGTCGCCTGCACCCCCGCGAGGCTGCACATCTGCTGCAGGTCACTCCGCAACACGAGTGTGTGCCGTACCTGCCTTTGCCCCATCCTAGGGCAGGACTCTGGTGAGTATATACTCTGAAAACAAAGGTAGTTTTTTACGCGGTCGTTGTCATGAACTCAATCTTTAACATAAACAACCATGACGATATTTTGCTTTGAGATGCTTTGAATGCGGTATAATAAATACGTGTATTTTAGCATGAATGATTGTTGAAACTGACGAAATTTGCTCTGGGCTTGGGTGAATATGGTGAACGAGCAAGCTTAATGAGTACCGTATATAAATCTCGTTCCAACCATGTTACGTCAATGTTACTGCACCTTCTTGAGTAGGAATAGTTTCGCTAACTTCTGTGAGGTTGTTGGTCCAAATCGATGTAGGTTTGTATTCCAGAACAAATGCAGCTTGCATTTCTGACATTTTAATGATTAATTACTCACTCCTGTTATTCTTCCGGTTTAAGTGCGGTTTGTTGAAAAAAATGCACTTGATGTCTTGCCGCAGTGTTAAACTTATGCGGGCGTCATTTATGATATTATGGTAGTAATGAATTATTGGAGTCAAGGTATGAAGACAGAAGCTTGACGATTACTTATGCGATATTTTTCGATTCTCTTTGTTTCACCAACGACTTGTAATGGTAAATTAATACAATTGTTTTGACTTTGCTGCTGCATGTTAAATACGGTATATGTAATGCTTTGAGAAATAGCTGTATAGCTCCAAACTGATTTAGTTGAAAATCACGCTCGAGTTGAAAATGCTGTCGTGATTTGAGAAATACATGTTTACTATTAAGTTAATTATTTTGAGGTCGCAGGTGCGTGCTAGAGAGTGAGGTGGAGGACGGCAGCGCGTCTAGCTGGAGTAGCGACGGCTACAACTGGCGACTGCTGACGAGCGTGGCGTTGGGTGTCGGCGACGAGTCGCTGCTAATCAAGCGCTACCGACGGACTGTTCGGGGACAGGGTGTTCATTTGTACCGCTATGCCTACTGCCTTGCCCACTGTGATCGCGCTCGAGTCTTGGTGCATTACATTGGCCTTGATGACGAGCCTGAAACTTTCCAGTCTCCCCAAGATTTTTCTGGCGCCCCACCTGTGCGCTGTAAGGAAGAAGGTGCCGTAGATGAAACAGGATTCCTAGACGCAGACACCTGGCCTCAGGTCAGAGAAGAAGACTACCGACATGGCAAGTGGCAGTATCTGCAGGATGAGGAGGAGCAGCCAGATACCACGACCGTGCTTAACAAGGATGGCCTTAGCGTTATGGGTGAGTTGTGATTTGCTTTATCGTACATCGTTAACTGTGGATTTTTTAATATATCTTAAAATAAGTAAAACTCTCTGAGATGCTGTGACGTCTTAAATTATTATTTCAGTGAGTGGTTGATATCTTTTGCCTTTTTTGATGGAGGAATTGAATTATTATTGTTGGAGGGACTTGATCAACGGCTGCACTGGATTTTTTACAACGTGTTTAGTTGGCCCTGAAATTGTTTTCATTATCTTTTGGTTTACCGGGTGACTTGAGAATTTTTTTGGTATAGTTGAACTAACGCTGCAATTTATTTAGTTAAGTATGTATTAAAAATTGGATTATTGGAACAATTCAACACCTGCAAATTTCGTTGTGGAAATTCACAAAAAAAGGCTAATTTAAATAAACTTTTTGTACGAAGCTTGCGAACTCGAATTAATTTTCATCTAAATATTCTTTTTCTCTGCCATGAAACGTAGGTTCTCTCCTCTCCTACCTTTTATCAATTAAACTAGTTATTTCTTGAATCAATAGAGATTTCGAGATTTTTATTTAAAATGATTTTTGCAGTGATCACGCGCCTGCTTATCCCTCTGGAAATAGCTACCGTGATCCACCTCCTGGAAGACACTCCAGAAGAAGACTGTCTCACTTTTGCTCCAGGCAATCCTAAGAATGGACATTGGTTCGTTTTTACCTACGCGGGTCTCCACCCCATTTGCCAGAAGGGCTGGAAGAAAGACTACTACCGCTGGAGACACAATGGCACTCACAAACGAGTTATCCAGGATAAAAATCTCAATATCCGTTACTATAAGAGAATTGTCACAGGGCGTGGTGCGCACTTTATGCGCTATACTTACGAAATACTCGATGAGGAAGGTAACAATGTTCTTCAGCGCATGCTTGTTCACTACCTTGGACGTGACGACATTCCTGAACCAGCATCCAGCTACTCACCGAAGTTGCGAGCTAAACTTGGCATCGGAGCTTCTGTGTTCGTGAAAGTTGGAGACCTCATGGAAGGCCAGTTCTACACCGTCATGTGCAGTCGATTTATTCCTGATCTCGACGTCTTGCCTGCAGAAGATCCTGCTGAACCGACTGCGCTTGGCGGTAGCTATGGTTCGGTGATGGAACAGCAAGACCACATGTTTGTTGATTCTCAGTACGGTGCCATAATGAAGCCCCGGAGAAGCACCAAGCCTCGCGCAATTCAGTCCGGCATTGACAAATCTAACAACTTTTTCCTTGAAGAAGTCCTCCCATCGCCAGATTTGCCATCCTGTGTCGTTGAAGAGGCGTCATCGCGTTATCCGTCAGAAGAAGCGGATTCCTCTGTTGACAGTGGAATGCCGTACGTATATCGTGTTGGCCGAAGCGTCATCGACTTGGTATATGACTTCCTGTACAAAATCAAAGAGTCTCACTACATATTTTTCCAAGTTATTCCCACAACCATCGTTGTTATAGCTTGCAAATCTAACATGAATGAGTATAAAGCAATGCGCGTCGCGTCAAATGCAAACCTTGTTGTCTATTATGACAAAACATGGATGGTTGACAACTTGTACGTTAGCTCACTCTACACCAAACACATCATGTGCGAGTCTGAGACTTTGTTCCCTCTAGCATTTGCTATTCATGAGCTAGATGATGCAAGCTCCCACCGCACAATCCTGGAACAAATGCTGATGAGCTGTAAGGCCTTGGATTCCGCCGACACTGTAATCCTCACAGATGCATCTCCAAGCCTACTGAGCGCCTGTGCCGACTCACTGCCTAAGTGTATTCGTGCATCATCCTGGACAAACATTCTGGAGGCCGTCAATCTTTGGTTCAGCCGAAATGAGCCAAATTGCGATAGCTGGACTGCAACTGTCGATTCTGTTGCTAAGCTTCTGCGAACACGGTCATTTGACGAGTACTCGCTGAAGTATCAAGAGTTTTCTGCCGTTTGGATACCCGATTTTCGCGGTTTCTATGACGAAACGTTGTCTGACGTAGTGATAGCTAGCAATGCTGGAAGCCTTCAAACTTTGGGCATGTATTCAAAGCACGGACTGACCATAGCTGGCCTACGTGACTTCTTGGAGCAGATGGGTTTCCTTTTTTCTGACGTCGAGTGTTCAACGTTGGATTCTCTGACAAACATGATCTACTACGTCCTCTACTACTACCACAACGAAATTGAGAAGGGGAAGCTAAAGGAAGTTGGGACTGCTTTCCGAAGAAAGAAACGTTTCTTCTCATCAATGATCAAAAAGAAATGTTTCTTTCCCAGCCGATGTGCTCTGCCTGAAGATGTTGCTGGTTCGATCCTGGTGAAAATGAGGGTACCTGCATTCGCGATGAAAAAGGAGCCCGTCCACTCGTCAATATTCGACACTGATGAAAACGTGAGAGAGCTTGTCAACATTGAGGTTGACGTCGACTTGGATGGAAACATTGGCATTGGTGAGGAAGAATTTGAGCAAATCACAATTCTTGAAAGCGATCCTCTAGAATTAAAAGCTGAAAAAATAACCTGCGTCACAGAAACTGTTGAGGGAGAACCTATGGTGTATTCTCAGAGATCCACCGATGATGAAATGGAAGAGCCTGAACGACGTCTTGGTCGAAGCAAGAGGCCAAGACTGAGATTGGCCTCAAATGCAGTGCTGTTTGATCAGTATGACGACGATAAGTCAGAAGATTTCGTTCCTGGCTCCGTGAAACGCAGAGGTCGCCCGAGGAAACTGAAACATGACTCAGGTTCGCCACTGCGTAAACCAGTGACAAAGCGTTTCAAGAAGACGGACTCCTCGAGAAATAATAAAAATTCTTACGAAAAACGGAAGAAGATGGTCAATTTGGGTCATTCTTTGTGGATATCCGGCAGAGTTTCATTCGACCCTGGCGCCGAAACTTACTTCGTGAGCGGTGGGCGAGGGGCTGTCGAGTGCGTTCAGTTGACTCCTTCCCATCATTGCTCTTGTGGTGCTAGGGATCGCTGCAAGCATATCATTGCTGCGCTTCTCGAGAGCCTTTGTTTTGAAGATGAATCCGAAGATAGAAGTATCTTCAGCAGCCATAGCAAAAAGAAACTCCCAGTTCTCCAGTCAACCACATTAGATCTACAGTTTGAAGATGATGAAGAATTTGGACATGAAGAAACCGTGTTCTTGGAGCCTAGCTTTGACGTAGACCTTTAATTTCAATAACACGTTCTGGCTTTTACCTTCTGAGTGATTCTGAGAATTTTTTTCTACATGAACTTCTTCAATTTTGATAGACCACGATTTATTGTTATTGTATGGATTGATTTAATAAGTGTCTGTTTCATTGCCACATTTTTTCGCAACTTGACTTCCCAAAATTTCTGTCCTATGAACAGATGTGAAAAGCTTAATAGTAAGTATTTCGCGAAAATTTCTCTTGTAAAATTCTTGTAGCCTTCTTGTAGAGTAGTAGTGTAAATATGTGTATATCGAAAAAGCTGAAATTTTCATTACACATTGCAACTTTCTGCCATATATAAAAACTTAGAGGACTTAAGTAGTCCGCTGTTCGTAGGTTTAGTTTCTTAGCGTTTCTTTGATTACTTCTCAGTGGCTCAACGGAAGCTATCAAGTTACCAGACTTAGTTGAGAGGAACCATTCAACTGAAAATTAGAAGACAATTTAAAGTGTAGCTTGCATGTCTAGCTATGTATAAATGTGTTTGGTTATATTACCCAACATATATAAATGTTGGGTTGCTGTTAGATGCACTCTACTAGTAACATGTGTTGGCATTATCTACGTTTTACAATGAATCGTTCATGTTAACTTACTATGCTTCGGATTAGGTTTTCAATTAATTTTTGCGAGCCGTTAAAAGGAAACTTAATTTTTTTTATGACTGGAATAATTCGATTTAAGGTCGATGATTTGACATGTTTAATTACTGTTTGTTTTTGAGTCTCAATGATGAGAAATTTAATTATTACATCCAGAATAACTTATAATCCTGTGGTGTCTCTTACGTTTTTATTGATAATATATAATTGATTCGGTTTCTAGAACGACTTCGAAAATAAAAGAGAAATAATTTAACTTTATTTTCAGTCTATTTTCTTGTCTGCAATTTGGCAGGAAATTAGTAGGTGTCGATTTCAATGCTACTTAATATCTTCAATTTTATTGTTAATTACAGTTTCGTCTCCTGCAACACTTCAGATCAAGGGAATACGATCATTGACTATTTCCTGCATCACGGGTTTGATAGAGGGCTCACGTGACTGCTTTTGTCGTTTTTGTTTCCCAATTTAGTGTAACAGTCTAAAGTTAATGTTTTCTACGCGTTTTTCTTTAATACGAGTACGTTTCTTCCCACCAACTGAAATGATTATAGAAAACCATTGTCTGGCTAGTGCTCTCCTCTATGAGAGAATGACTATGTATATAAAAATTATCCTTGGACACCGTCGCTCTCAACACCGGTTTCTATTCATGTAAGTCATTGAAGTTTTCCTCGTGGGAGTGATGCTCTATATTAAAAAAAAAAAAACAAAATTTGTACCGAAATTGTCATATTTGTTTACATTTACAGCCATTTCATCTAGAGGACAGGTTTTCAATTCGCCGAAATTTTTTCAGATTTTTGAAAGATTTTTGTTGCTTTAGCACGGACTCTGTTTTTGGTATGTATTGTTGCTGTATATTCAGCTGTCGAATAACCAATCTTGTGTAATTATGGATTTGCCGTGGCACAATTTAAAATTACATTATGTTCAGTTTCTGCAATCGAAATGACTTGAAGGCTCAGCTTTTACTTTGAGCTAGATAAAGGTTTCATAATTTAAACTAATCTTACACTCTCGCTTCTCGAAATAATGTACAAGCTTCTAAAATACATTGGTTTATCTCCCGTTGTTGTTTCTCCCATAACACATCTCGTGTTTGTCGGAATTATTTCATTCCGGTCTGCTTACAACTGAAACTTCGTACGACTAACAAAAGGTTTAATATTTGTCTGTAATTCAAAACTTGAGAAACTTGGAAAAAGTTTATTCTCTAAGTGCAAAATTGACTATTTAATCACAAATCAAATGGGCTCATCAGTTTTTCAGGCATCACCGTGAAATTACCAGGGAAATTTTCGTTTAAAACTTTATAATGATGTCAGCAACTGAAACGCTGTCTTTTTGTTGCCTGCAATGTTCATCTCCCGCAGAAAATTTTTCTGATAAAGAGCTATAATGGTTTAATAATGAAACAGAGAGATTGGATGCTTTGCTTTATTCATTTTTGACAATGATATATGGTACATCTTGTCTAAAACAATTGCATACTTGGATAAGTTGGGGGTAACTGCTACTGTAGCGTGGAGTGTCTTCAGAAGTTCAGAGTGACGACTCTTCACCTAGCTTCAGAAACCTGAAGTTAAACTTCCATTATATATCAGCTATTCATGACTGAATATTTTTAGCTCGCATACTTGAAGAAACTACGCCCCTGGATTGGACCCTGTTGCTTGTTGCATGAGGAGGGCTTGGGAATCCAGCAACTGACAGCTAGGATTTACTTAAAATCGCCAGTTCGTCATCTTGTAAGACTCTATCGCTGTTCACTTTGTGTTAATTTATTTGGCTGCAGCGTTTGAAATCGGGTAAGAAATGTGCTAAAAAAATGCTAAACTGTTAAAGTTGCTATGTTAGGTTGCTTTGATTGAAAAAAATATGAATTTTTCATCTGAATGCAAGCATAACGGGGCTTTAATTGAGTTCAAAGAAAGGACTTCCATAATCTCTCAAACTGAGCTATGAAGTCCAGGGAAATCATTCCATTCTAAAGCGCGATTTTTGTTAGCATCCGATTATAAACAGTCTCACTGTACTCTCGGAAACACATTGGCTGAAACGCTGTACGTAACGGTCATCTATTTCATTATTGCTGATAATAACTAAGTGATTAAATTGAAATATTGTGATCATTGTGGCAGCTTGAAATGTTTCGTATTTTCCGTAATGTGGGAAATATGTAAATTTGCTCCCGCAAAAGAAGTAAATGAATTGTGTGTAACAATTTGAGTTTACTTTTTCATTTTGTTAAAATGTGATCGGTTGCAGTGAACTTCTGTCATAAAATATTTAACGGTTTGACTGGGAAACTGTGTTTTGGCTTTTCAAGGCATTGGAGGTTATTTTAAGTAACGAAGTGCTCTGGTGCTATATTCTAAGCATAGCTAAGAATGTAACATGCTTCTTGCTCTGCATAAATGTACACACTACAGTCGCATTCTTTGCATACACTTTACAACTATACCGTATTCGCTATACATTTCATGCTATAACGGCTATACCAACACACGCTTGACTTGCAGTGGTCACTCTCATTCTCTCGTGTCCATATCATACACTAGTGAGACCTATTATGTATATAAACATCCTATGAATTGATATGTGAGTGCCAGCCGTTGGATATTTTTATTACAATAGGAAAAACAATAGTTTTCGAGCACTTTTTGTCGAATTAAACGATTCGCATTGTCACGCAAGAAAGAACCACGCTTTCAAATTTCAGGAATCTCATTTCCAATTAGGCCGTATCTCTAATTCTGTACACTACTAAGTTTGTGAACATAAAATACAGCACGCAGTGAACGACAGGAAGATAAACATATTGTAATAATATTAGAAAGGGGCAGATCGTAGTGTAACATTTATACATAAATTCTCCTAAATAAAATAGAAACACGGTTGCTTTAAGCAAGCTTGTGCTTGGATCGCTACCTCGTCGAAGGAGGTTCCGGAGTGCAATGGATCGACCTTCGATGCGATGCTTTCCATGCACAGAAGCAACACGTGTCTAACAGCTAGAAGGCATCGTCTACGTGGTGTTTGTGATCAAACTACGTAATAGGATTTAGTGGGAATATTTCGCCTGCGATCGTCGATTGTAGACGCATTTTGCTCAGTAAATATCCGTTGCAATATTCATATACCAACGACAGCCGCTATGGCTGATATTCCTCGTAATTACAGTCCTTGCTTTCCCTAGTAAATTATTCGTACATATTGTTTATTATCAAAAACTCTTAGAGCTGAGGGTTTTCATTTATAAGAAGAACGTTTACAAAGTTTTGCTGCTGCAATGTCATTTACATGTGTCTGTGAGGGAAAACCTCTTTATTTCTAAAACTTTGTGCAAAAACTGGTGACAATCCACATCATCATTTATGTATTTCCATGTGTAGGAAAGGTTAAATATCGTCATATAAAATGAAATTTGCATTATTTCTCAGGACTTCCAGTAATCGAGAAGCTGAAACTCAATCTTTTTTTTTTTCAAGCCAACGAATGTCGAGGCGCGAGGCCTTTTTTCTGACAAATATATAATTTGCAAAGCGGATTTTAAATATTAATTTACTATATTTCTTGGCAAAGAAAAGCAAATAATAAGTTGGTTCAACAGGTTTGAAGAAATGTATCGATTTGGCCACGAGGTTTAGTAATTGAAAACATTCGTCAAACAAGGATGGACATTTTTCCCAATGATGCAAAATTTCAATTTGTGTTGACTGTCTAGAGATATTGACTGAACATAGGTCATGAAATAAAAGGAAAATAAAAACAAATGAAGAGGAGTGACGAACTTAATCAAAAATAAAGTACAAAAATATCTTAACTTAAAGGAATGCGTATTTTTCAATACCAGGAATGTATAGATCTGGAATTTTTCTATCAGATATGATGAGAATGTTACGCCCAACTATGAAATTTGCTCATTAATTCATGACTCAGAACTGAATTTTAGACAACATTGCTTTAGAATAGTTCCCGTACGTTTGAAACTCGTTCGAAATAAATTAATTTTGTTGTTAAAATTGTGTGATCATTTCCAAAAGATGATGATCAGTTATACCCGATGATGCAAGTGCTAAGTGTTCAGTGACAAAGTGTCAAATTTCGGCTCTAATAACTTGTCGGGTACGGCACTAGATGGCGATGACGTAAGTATTTTCCAATTACACAAATTAAAAAGGTAAGGCAGCGTCGTTTAAAATTAATTTACGATGAGAGAGGAATATTTTGTAAGTTTCAACTCACCCACCCACATTGAGTTAGGGAGACCTTGGGCTCCCGGAAGAACTGAAGAACAAGTTAAGTAGAAATGAGGAAAATGCACCTATCGGGGCTTGTTTAAAGCACGTGGCAAGTAGCAAAAAAAATGTATCCGAAAAGAAAGCGGAGCGCTACATGAGGATAAATATGATTTCGTTATAGAAAAATTTCTTACAGGTGATTACTTAGATATTGTAGAATATCATCGACTGACTAGTCAGTTGTACTTATTACAATTCTGTCATATGATCCGCAGCAGTTGTTAATTTAATGTCAGCAAGCTGACGTATGCTAAGTTACTGTGTAACTAATCACGTATACTACAAGTAGCTAAAGGTTTTTAGCTGGTCAGAAATGAATCGGTGAGAAAGTTGTCGAACACGTGCAATAAATTTTAAATGAAAATAACCACAAACCAGAATCGATTAGGGTTCCTTGTATGATTCGTAGTCGAGATGAGCAAAAGAAACCGAACATTATGGTAGTAAGAAAAAGTATGGCCCAGCAAATTAGTTGAGAATCTTCAATAAATTTCTAAATCTATTAATTTAACCAGAATTTTATTACGGATAGAATGTGATCATAATTATGCAACCGTGGTGACTAAGCTTAATCTAAAGTCTATGTTAAGTACAGAATCAGACCATAAAACATTCATAATCAAGAAAACAAAGCAAACGACTCGTATAACACTAAACCGATGGTGTGGCTCTTAAAAGTAACGATTTAAGTACAATTTGAGAACAGTTTTTTCAGCAAAGAAACGATCGAGGACCAGAATACAATAATCTTGGAGGTCCTGACAAACAGATAAGGTTAAATAGTGTATGATCTTCAGTCATACGGTTTAGAAGTTATAAAAAACTGTACTTGCACAAAAATGCTTCATAAATAAATAAAATTAAATAAAGTTTGACGATACAATACACTATAAAATGAGCAACTTTGACTAGTTTGAAGTCTGAGTGGACTTTGAAGACACATATAAAATAAGATTAACCGCCGTGACTGCGATAAAAAGCTAACCATAAGCACACAAGTTAGGTTTCATTTCACATTGGCATTGATGAAAACTCAAGTAAACAGCCACACAAATCTCTGCTCTTAACCTATGCTTGGTTATGAGATCCGTGTTTTGTAAAATTTTACGCAGCATAGATGTGACTTAATTATGTGAGTTAAAAGAAAGAAAAACTCATTAATTGGACCACGAAATCATTGTTGGAGACGCCACGACGTACTCATCGTCAGAGACGCCACGACGTACTCATCGTCAGAGACGCCACGACGTACTCATCGTCAAAGACGCCACGACGTAATCATCGTCAGAGACGCCACGACGTACTCATCGTCAGAGACGCCACGACGTACTCATCGTCAGAGACGCCACGACGTCACTTATCGTCAGACACGTTGTGACGTCACTTAGAAGTCGTGGCACTAAATCGTTAACTGAACAGGCGGCCATGTATTTACACAGAAATCTAAGCATCTATCAAAACACAAAATGTAACGGAAGAGATTGGGAATTAAGTAAAAACAAAACAATCGTAAGTTCAAGAGGGTGAGGCAAATTCCTCAGTAAAAATAGCTCGGTAAAAATGACTTAACACTAAAATTAAGAAATGACTGCGAATAAAGTGAGCTTAAATTAAAACACTGTCCACTAAAAACAATACAACCGAATTCGCAAACACAGTAAAATCATTAGCAGAATTGAGCTATAGGTAACTTAAACTAAGGAATGTATGCGACAAGTTGTTTCGCAATGACTGGGCGGCCGACGACGCTCGATTATTAGCTCGTTTATTAATAAATATTTCTTAAGTAATGACTTGCGTCTCGGCCGGCGACTTCTGACTAGCCACGGTTTCATCTGAGAGATTTCCTAGCATAGCTAACTAGACTGCGTCTTCCTTAGCGTAAAAACAACGAGAGATCCGAAGGTCTTCCATGTACTGAATTCTACTTAGAATTGCTTATGGTTTATCAGTTCTCTCAAAACTGCCAACACTGGAACAATCAATAAACGCCAAAAAAACTTAAGACAAATAGACTTTCTAAACAGATTAATCCGACACGGCTGACTTAGAGACGAGGTCTTTTTTTTTATCCCTAAGCTTCAAATCAAAGTTGATACGAAATACAAATGATAAAGACAGCTTAGAATTTATGTGTGACTTAACTATACTTGTCGTGACATAACTAAATTACTAAAGGTTAGTGTCAGTATTTTCTTTACTGGCAGAGATCTTCTAGAACACTCTTATTTACACGTGCTGGTGATTCTTTGTAGTCTATTTCATGAGAAATTTGGAGCAACATCACCGTAACATACACATAAAAAATCTTACACGCAAAGGTGTTGAGAAATTCTGTCAAAAAATTCGTACATTCACAAAAATAATTGAGTTTAAAATTGTATTTTATGAGATTTAAAATTCATAATTATAGTGGTCTAAAAATTTACATCAGCAAGAAATTTATTAAAATAAGAAATCCCCGGTTTGAACAACAGATCGTCTGTTATGATACGATGATTATAAATTATATTAAAACAGAGCTGCATGTAAAACAACGGTCAAGACTTTATGAATAGCCTCGGTACGACTTCCAAGTGCATGAGGCCGGCCATTCCCTTGCAGCACAACCTCCATAAGCGGGCAAAAATATCGACTGGTTCCTGGTAGAAAACCTCGTATGACAACAACGCAAATTGTTAACTTGACTTCTCAATAAAGCAATCTTGTCTTACTTCTGTAATTCAATGTTTGTGTCACAAACATCACTAGAATTATCATACTCTCGAAATAGAGATAATCTTGCATTTTCAATCTTAATTCTACAGGGGAAAGGGTTCATATGAGGCGAAGGCGGGGTGACGCGATGAGGCGCATCAAACATTATAGCAAGCAACAACATTCAACCAGAAAATTAGAAAAGTAAGCGTAGAGAGCAGCCATATCCCGCACTCAAATTATAGATTGATAGAGAGAAGAAGGTAAGTAGGAAGAAAATAGGGACAGAAAGAGAGAGAGAGAGGTAGAGAGAAAGGAAAATATCAAGATAGTTTGCGCTTAAAAAGATGCGGCAGATTTTTTTTTATTTGTGTTGCGGCAGCGGTGCTGGCAACCAGTCTGTAAATGATTTTTGAAACTCTTGGGCATCTTAGCTTAATAATAAAAAAGTCACAAAGGATAAACGTTTCTTAAGGCTTATCATAGCGCTTAATTTGTGAAAGATCGACGAAAAAGTCGACTTTGTAGGCTCTTAAGGGTTTATCAACAATACTTTATTTTGTTAGCACAAAAGTTAAGGTTTAGCATTTACAGCAGCAACAGTCAGCGTAAGAAATCTATTATCACACTGAGACATGAATATTTGAAATGACTTTTTCGATAAGAAATTGATAAGTCGTCGTATATACCCTCCGAAAAGAAGGAATGGCGGACAAGAATAATGAATGGATGACCGTGTGTTTCTTCGAGATTCTTATGAACAGGGAAGAAAAACTTGAGGTGAAAAGAATAATGACGGCATAAAAAGAAAGGTGCACAAGGAAAAGGGAAGATGAATGCGGAAGAATACAGAGCAATGATGATTTAAAACGATTTTGATCGATGCGAATGAGTTGAAAAACAAGCTAGGTTAATTGAGTTTTATTACGATTATTTTCACGATTACGGCGGACATTATGAAAAAGTTGTTGATTTGTTTAATTGATTATGGTATGATTCACTAGATGGAGTTACAGACAGCAGACAATCGTTGCTTGGCGTCCTAGAAGGACCCGCTTTACTGAGGTGTCAAGTAAACAAGTTGCGTGGCTGGTTGTCACAAATCCTGGTCTTCGAGACAGTGCCCACTTACCATGTTAGTTTGGATCTGACCCTGACCCATCTGCCCCATTTGCGGCATGTGCACTACAGTCGTGGCCACTGTCGTCGGGGACTGCTGAATTGTGGCAATCATTTGTGGACCATTGTTTGTGCCTATCCCTCCAGATGATAGCCCAGGGGGCGTTGCTCCCCCTCCTCCACCAACTGATACCATCGTCATAACTTTGTTGTTCATCTCGTTGTCATCCTTCCACTTATCCATGGACCGGCGACGGGCGTTCATGAAGAAGTTGCCCACCGTCGACGGTTCGAGGCCCAACTGACGAGCGATGGTCACTTGCATCTCTTTGCTCGGCCGCTTCGTTTCCTGCAAAACAATGGAATAAATTTGTAAAAGGGAGTTTTATCACAAATAATCAAGCAAGCTATCGTTTACGACTCTCCATCGCTTTCCTCTGCTGCTTCTTTTTCCGAAAATCGTGGAAATTAATTTAGGAATCGAGAGCTTATCTTACAAATAGTTCAACGAGCTATCGTGTTTCGACTTCCCACGCCTTTACTCAGCAACATGTTTTTTTTCAAAATCGTCGCAATAAATATGTGACGGCAAAGTCAATCACGCAATAATTTCACAGACTACCATGGATAATTTAGTCGGAATTTTATCGATTCGTTTCTGTTGGTCGGTTCAGCAGTAAAAAAGGACTTAACTTAATTATTTGCACAACATCTAAATATGTTTATCGGTTTTAGTAATCGTTGGACAACTTAGCAAAGACTAAGAGAATACAAATGATCATTTGAAATTTATTTTGTTGGCATATTGAAGTGAATATTCGTCATAATTGCAGTGAATATTCGCAACGCAGTTCACTATTATAAAGCTCGCTACGTTTGACTTCGAATTTGAGAATGAGAACACAGTGGGAGAGGAGCTACGTTGTCCTGGGCGTAGAGTGCTAAGGCACCGCGGCGCCCTCTAGTGGTGGTTTGTTATGGCTGACTCGAGCGGACTCTTGAGTGACGGTCAGGCAAAGCCGAGAGCTATTCAAGAGCAGGTCGAGAGTAGCCCAAGAGCTGAGTAAGAGCTTTCAAGAGTCACACTCCCTAATGAGGGACACACCACGACACGACAAAGGCAAATTTCCTCGAACAGTTTAAAATGCAACGCTTCCTAGAGGCACTTGAGTAAGTTCTTCGTTTAATAACCTGAACTAGCGCATGGAACAACAGCTCCTTTCTGTTTATTGTGGTGTCTTAAAATCCTAAAAATTAATTGGGCAGAAAGGAAATTTGTAGACGCGATTACCTGGATGAAAAATATCTCAAAGTTCTAAGATGAATAGATGCTTTAATAGCGTGAGACGAGGACAACAGGTCTCTTCAACTCTGTTTTATGATGATAAAGTTCAAATAACGTAATAACGTAAATTGGTAAATAATTGTATAGAAATAAGAATATGGTAAAATTAAAAGTTATACATTACGATTAGAATACGACATTCACTGAAAAAAAATATCGGCGGAACGCCAGTGGTGGAATCGAAACTTTTTCAAGTACGGAAATATTCGGCTCCCGCCCAGCCCTGCGTTCGATGGCGGCGTGACGGCGGTCGCACCGCAAAAAGCAAGCGGATAAATGTGTCGCTGTCGCGCACCTCAGAAAATCCGTGGCAAAAACGTGACACTTTCATGAGGGGTCAAGTGGTGCCGCCTTGTTATTCGCTAATGATATTGATAAGCGAGGGAAAGCCACACGTGAACCTGTTCTGAGGCCCGGAAACTCGAACCCAACCGAACCAGTCTTTTGCCGCCCCATTGTAGAGGAAATTGTGAGGAATATTTAGTACGCATGCATATGATTTGCAGTGTAATAGGTTATTCTTTCCTATGTTTGCTTTCAGGTTTAAGCAAGCAAGAAGTACGCATAGAGTGATAAAAGTAGAAGAAAAATAAATTATTTCTACAGATATCTGATAATGGGATACTACGAGAAGCGATAACGGATTCCCGAAATAAAAGTAAGAATAAATGAAGAATATAAAGTAACAGAACATTACAGAACTGAAGTCGTATGAAGAAGATTAAGGATATACCTAAGGAGATATGAAAATATTTCCTACGGTAAAATACGCGGTGTGTGAAAGGATCAGGTATTGGAGGAGGTGCAGGATGAGGCAAGAAAGACAGGAGGAGTACAATGTACAGGAATGAGGTTCTGAGGAAACTTGATGCAGAGTAAGAATTGCAAGGGGAACATGAGGACGTACCGGGGAAGAAGAAAAGGTGCAGGGAAAGGCATGAGATTTTCGGGACGAGCCTTGATGTAGAGTAAGAATTGAAAGGGAAATAGGAGGACGTGCCGGGGAAGAAGAAGAGGTGCGGGGGAAAGGCCTGAGGTACAGGGAATTGAAAGAGGTGCAGGGAGGGCTAGGGAAGTGCAGGGATGCCAGTATTGGAATCCGATAGGAGGCTTGGATCTTAGCGGCAGCGGCAGCAGCGCTAACAGCAACGCCACAGAAAACAACAGCAGGACGACTGAACAACAGCACAAGTGCTGGGCCCTGTTAGAGCAGCTCCAGGCTGGTTGCGTCATTCAGGATAGAATTTTAACTGAAATAGTCTTATGAAGAGGGAAAAATATATCTTATTCACAAAATGCAGTGAGATAAAACCTATTAATAAAAAATGCCATTAAGAAATTCTTTCCCATACTGGAGACATTTACACGAGATGCGGCCTGATGAACCATAAAGCATGCATTTAAGTGGGACGAGTTCAAGGATCCAATCAGATACCCGAGTCAATTTTTTACACTCAATAAAAATACTGTTCAGCGTACCTGTGAAGTGGATCTGATCATTAGAAAGCTATCCAATTTTAATTTAGATCTAATATTTTCTTATTGTCTGGGTAAAATATAATCGTAACGATAAATAGTGATAGTGTTGATATCACTCGAAACAAATTTCTATTGGTATTTTCCAATTTATAGAGAATCCACAAAAATCAACGCAAATCCATATATTTTACTGGTAAATCCACGTAACAATAATATCCTCCAATAGAAAAGAAACACAAATTTTTGAAGAAAAAAAAAATTTTAAAATTGTTCGTTTCGGGGAGTCAAATCAAGCTTTCGTCGGCGGAAGAGAAAAATCTGCGTCATCTGCTGATGAAATTCTTCTGGGTATTTGTGTACAGACGAAGCCTCGCTTTGAATGGAAGCTTCCTAGGAACGTCGCATATTAGTTCTTATGAAGCCCACGAATTCCTTTGCAATGACATGAGTCAAATGTCGAGGCAGAAAAGCTTCGTCGAGGACGGATTGTCTCGAGTTAATTGCAGATAGTCATTTCTCATAGGGAGTTCGAGAAAATATGGAGTAAACCTTGTAAAATAGTAAAGCTTACATTGTTATCAAGTAACTAATTACTATTTTAACCACAAAAAAGCAGATTTATTACTTTGAAAATAATTCGTGTTTCAGTTCATATTTAGCATAACATTTGCCATAATAGAGAACAATAAAAGAAGATCGAATGAAACAAGAAGAGGAAAATCGGATGAAATCAAATCTGGATATCAGCTATTAAAGAAGCGATTATTATACATTATTAGTCAGCATAATATTCACATTTTAAATAATAATGTTAATCTTCAAAAGGACGAAGATGCAAAAAATAACCCAGAAAGTATTAGGCAATTAATCTAGCCCAGCAAGGAGAGCCAAGACGAGCCAGTCTTTTGAAAGACGTGATTTTTTGACAGCTCAAGGCATCCGTTTTTGCTCACTGCAGCGTCATTATTTAGCCGAGATTCATGAATACAGTTCAGAAATTCTGCCGAACTTTGCGGCCTTTCGTCCAGTTTTTCATCTGAGGCTATTAGGCCAATGAGAATGGGGGAGGAATTTCGTGGAAACATTTTTTCACCATCATGAGAAGGGTTTTAGATAAAAAGTGTCATTAGTACATTGTAATTGAGATAAAAAAAATGTTTAGTTAATTTTAGCTCCGTTTTAGCTCATAATATTTAATATCTTCTTTTGTCGCTGCAGAATATGCCGCCATTTGAATTCTAAAACCAAGCACAAGGAATTAGTTTCACCTTAAAAATAGTTTGTATAGCGCAACTGCAGTAACGCTGACATTTGTATTATAAAGCTTCGTCTCATCTTATATGCAAATAAAACATTAGTAACTTGTCACACCTTAATGCAATGTAACATTAGCCACTTGTCTCACCTTAATGCAATGTAACATTAGTAACTTGTCTCACATAAATGCAATATGACATTAGCAACTTGTCTCACCTTAATGCAATATAACATTAGCAACTTGTCTCACCTTAATGCAATGGAACATTAGTAACTTGTCTCACCTTAATGCAATATAAGACATTAGCAACTTGTCTCACCTTAATGCAATATAACATTAGCAACTTGTCTCACCTTAATGCAATGGAACATTAGTAACTTGTCTCACCTTAATGCAATATAACATTAGCAACTTGTCTCACCTTAATGCAATACAACATTAGCAATTACCCATCTTAATGCAATATAACACTAGCAACTTGTCTCACCTTAATGCAATATAACATTAGCAACTTGTCTCACATAAATGCAATATAACACTAGCAACTTGTCTTACCTTAAAAATAGCTTGTAGTGTACGCCGCTGCAAGTCCGTGAAAACCAGCCGAGGCTTCTTGGGCGCAGGGGTTTGATCGGGCGGACTTTGGTGTTCCTCTTTCCTTTTGCAGGCTGCTGTGAACACGAGTAAAAATACGTGTGATTATTTGAAGGCTCGCTCTTTGTTTGTTTATGAAGGTTCAGTTGCAAAACAAAGAATATTATCTGTTAACTACTTGATTATGTATACTAAGAATCGAACCATTTACCAAGTAAAGGTTACGGCTAGTAATAAATTGAGTCATGCAGCAATTACATCATTGCGATATATTCGGACCCTTCACGAGGAGTCTTGGCACCAACGAGTTATTAAATCTTATGAACTTTGCGTTACCAGCGAAACATCGAGCCATGGATAGGAGAAGTTGAATAGTAAACCAGTGTTAATTACCAAATTATATTACTGATCTTTCATAACACCAAAACAAATATAGTGATGATCGAATCTACGTAGGACAACGTTAGTACAATATGGACATTATTTTATAGCATGTCGCGAAAGTAAAAAAATTTGGTGAGCCAAAATTGGTAAATTAGTAATTTTAATACAACCCTCTAGTAGTTAAAGCTGTTCTAGAGCATAAAACTTGTCCCGCTTCACATAGTAATATGGTTTAGTGATAGGAGAGTGTTATTTCCAAGTAGCTAAATGAAACCAATACAATCATGTAAATTCAATTTAAAATATAATAACAAATCAAACCGTACCTAATTAGGTAAACCTTATTTTAATGACAAAAAACATGAACTTGATGATTAACCATTCCACTTAAAAATTACGCTATTGATAAAGAGGTATGGGAAGAAATAGACTAGTAAGAAAAAGAGAGAAATTCCGATTTGCGATTTAATGATAGCGTCAAGCCAGGGGCTGTCAATTAAAGCAGTCGCTTTCTCTGTTCCGTAAGAGTGCATTGCAGTGAATCTACCGTGAAATAATTCGGGTAGAAATAATAATAATAATAACATAATAATCTAAATAATAGCGGTTTTATTTGAGGTTTTCGCTTAGGTCTGGATATGTAATATTCTTGAGTGACTTAGTATTTTTTACAATTAAATAAAGTATATTATTATATACGTTCAAATATTGAACATATGAACAAGTTTAGTGCCGGGAGTGGTTTATCTTAAGTTTTATTGTCATCGCTTTTGAAATTAAGATTGAGGAAATCTCAATCTTGAATGCAATGGACATTCCTCGAGTTCAGGTTCTGGCTTTGCGTGACTTACATTTCAGATTCCTACATTCATGAGTAACTCATGAGATTAACTCATGAGAAAATTAAATCCTAAATACATATAGCTATAGCTATATATATCTAATTCAAACTGTTCCCGAGCATTACAATTCAATTTATATGTTAGTCTCTGTTAGTCAATATGTTAGTCTCAATAGTTTAAAACGATCCACGTTGATGCCAGAAAATTGAATTGACAGCACTTCGGGAAAATAAACAGCGCATTTTTGCTCCAACGCATCTGATCGGCAGTGCATCTTCTCGCCTCCACCCAACACCTCAAAGAAGAACAAATTTTGAGTCGCACTTCGGCGTATTGCCGGAGTGATTGTGATACACGCCACCCCTTTTGTTGTGGCGACGTATAAAAGACAGAAGTTCTTTGCTTCTCAGCCCTGGAAAATCACACTCTTTAGAGCGGACTTTCGTAGCGAAAACCAAAAAATTGTCACGCAAGTTGCAACCTCTTGCTCCTGTGAGTTTTTTTTAGCAATTGCTTGCATAGAATTATGAAGAGTTTTAAATTTTTTTGTGATAATGATACATTCTTATTACTTATAGTTTCTTTTGGTCATATTTATCACCATCGTGGCACAGGGTCACCGCTATCTCTTAGGAGCCACGTATCAGACGCATATCTAGCGCTCACAAGCACATAAAACTCGATTAATTCATCAATAAAGAAGCAGCGCCTCATAAAATAACTAGATTGGTCATCAATAAAATTATTGGGTGTAATCTGTCCAATAAGAAGTACATAAAGGCACCTTTGACGACCGATTAAAAAAACGAACGACTCGCGCATTCGCTCTCGAGAGGCGCTTTGCCTGGAGCTAGGAGCTGTTTGAATAACGGATTTACATGTGTACTCAATGTAGATCTATGTTATAATAAAAGTAACATGCATTCGTTAAGAATAATAATTTCGAGGTCGTAGTTATGGATTAATACACAAGGAATTTGTTTGAATGATTACCTATCCGTTAAAAAGAAGAGACCAAACCTCTGACAGAAAATAAAGAATATAATCTAAATTTTTCTTCCTGGAATAACTATTGGAAGGTAGACAGGCACCGGCCTTATATGGGTTCCATAACTGAGAGCTGATGCAGCAGAAAATCCTTAAGATGCAACACTTATCAATGAATATTATTTAAATCGATTTAATAGTAACAGGTAATAATAAAGTGCAACGTTATAACGTTGCACTTTATTGTTCTTCTCCAATTTCTGGCTTCGAAAAATGCCGGTATTGATACTAAATAAATATATTGCTTGCTCGTGTAATCAATAATATTTTCGATATCATCAGAAAAGACATTGCAATAACAAATCACTTTCCGACACAGTCACAGGAGCGTCCTAACGACGAGGACCCACAACGCCTGTGCGATATACCTCAAGATTTTCTCTACTGTTGTCTGTCATAATTCCTTCAGGACACAAGAAGCAACGATTGTCGGAGCTTCGGCACACAATACACGCCACTTAGAAAAGCCCATCTCTTGGTAATAACGTACCAGTAAATAACGTACAGATGTTTGGCAATAATTACACTTCTTGGACTAGCCTTCACAAAGGCTGCCATGACCCTAGCAACGTTCACTAGGATGAGAGCTCAGTGATATGTGATGGAAAGTTTGGGCAGTGCAACACAATATGCTGCGGCCGCGATATAAATTACTCTTATCTTATTTAATGCAACCATGTTTCAGGTGTGCATAGGCCATAAATTTTGTAAGTCATAAAATTTTTGTTCATTGCACGAGGCCTGCAAAGCTCGTAGTTGTTTTTACTATGGATAATTCGCTTTGTAATTTTTGAAATTGCTACGAGTCATTTCAAATAGGGCAAGAAATATTTATAGAAAATAAATAAATAGGATTGTTAGAATATTTTACGAAAAATTGTTTTGGAAAAATTATATTTTTTCGCTTCTAATGGATATTGTGTTCATTGTCGCAAGTCAAAGCAATTTTTTCAAATAATTGATAAACCTGATACATTAGGAAGCCAGTTATCGTGCAATAATGCTATAATTTCCAGCAAACTTGTGTACAAACGCCCAATAACAGCGTAGAACATTATTAATAATTATTGGGAAGGTGATAAGATAGGATATATTGTAGTGACCGTTCATTACCGGTACCTCAGTTAACGCGTTCGAATTATTCCCTTTGTACGAGAGGAATTGACAGGCGCCAGAACGAGACGTCGAGTGCACCGCGACACGCGACGCTATGAACGACACTTCGACTGGCCGCTTATGGAACTTGATTGCGTTACTCACACGTTATATTGCTACGGAATTCTGTCTTTAATTTACTGTATTCTTTCTTAAAATATGAGAACACAGTAATATTAAAACATGAAAATACGCGACGCTTTAGTGAGAGCCAATATGTAAACTTATGGGCTTTGAATTTCAATTTATTTACGACTGATACTTAGTCGGGCACAAGTTGAATGATAGAAGTGAACTGAAGCCTCCATACTACCTTTTTCTGCTTAAAACGGATTTTAACTGGAGTACAAGTCTCTGCAGAGAACTTATTTAATGTTTTCGCAGTGCGTCAAATAAGTTGAATAAATGCTGCAATATAAGAAAATGCGCATCAAGAACGTTATTTCTTTATCGTCACTATATTTTTTATATTATACATTATATATTATGCCAGCATGTTAAACCTCCGCGTCAGCATGTCACGCATCCACTGCAGAAAACTATACCCAGAGTTGCATGCTACATTCTGAACAGCATGCTAAACCCAAAGCAGTATGTCACACCCGGATAAGCTTACTACTCCCACAGCAGCATGCTACCCACGAAGGAGCATGTTATACAGAGCATATTACACACCATATAGAGCATCACACTACACCCAGAGCAGCACGCCGCAATGCCACGTCAGTGCGTCACGCCTATAGTGCAGCAAGTCACACTGCCACGTCAGCACGTCACTCTGCCACGTCAGTGTGTCACACCTAGAGCAGCACGTCAAACTGCCACGTCAGCACGTCACACTGCTACGCCAGCATGTCACTCTGCCACGCCAGCTTCGTCACAAGAGTAGTCGCTTGCCACTATTGACGGCTTGCCATTCAAGCGTCCTCCTTTGAACGGCCACGAAGGACTCGAGTATATATATAAAGCAGAGCACCATCGAAGGGTTGCAGAAACAAAGCGACGTACGCGTCAAAAAATCGGTGAATTTTGCAATCTTCCAGGTAGGTGAGAAATGACAGTTTATAAAAAGCCCTTCAGTTCGCACCTCCATCATTTGACGCCCTGAAAACGCGTCCAATAAAACATAATGGCAAGATTTTTCGCGCACACGTTGCTGGAGAAGACAGCGCATTCAAAAATAGAACGTGTAACATCTTCAACGGGTTCGTGCACTTTTTAGTTATTTGCCCTTTGTACGGAATTTTGGACGCTATCAAAAGTAAACAAAATTAGGCATTAACAATTGAATCGGACGATTGCATCGGCAATTGACATAAAATATTAAATTTGGCTTTCTATTTGGTTATGTGATGCTAACAATTGTGTAAATATTCTATAGTTCGGTTTCAAGGAAAATTACAATTTTGGAATATATTTCCCTACAAAGAAATTATGAACCGAAAGTGTGTCCGTTTAGTTATATTGAAATATTCGCATACAAAATGTTTAACAACAAAACAATTGGAATAATTAATTCAGAATGAACGCGTTTTTGTATTATGGGTATGTATCCGCAGACGCTACCAAATATGATTACGTCTTAATAGAGGCTCTCGTTGTAACTAAATAGGATGTCAGAAGCAGCGTTCCAGCTGAACCGTACAGTT